TAATAAAAATTTAAAATGGTATAAAACCTGTAATTCTTGAAATTTTTTAAGATAATTGGAAATTTGTCGATAAACTTTAGTGAATTAAATATTGTACCACTTTAGTTTGACTTATCTTAATTTGAGGGGGGCAGGAGGCTGGGGGGCACACTTAAAAACCAACTTTTTTTTGCAAACTTCAATTTAAATTCTGCTTGCGCAGATGTGGGTCCCATATCTAATAACTGAGATATGGGTGTGCCCAAAATCCACCAGCCGCCACCATAATGGGCCATTCACCATAATCGTGAATGGGTATTTTGATTGGAGTCCAATGATTGTACAACATTCACGTGTGTTCACATAAAATTTTAATTTCTTTTATATAAGTTCTTTTCAAAGCGAAGATTATTATCCGCTAGGAATCCTTTGTCTCTCCTGGGCCGTAGTCACCTAAATTTAACTACTTTTTTATATGATTTTACTCATCTACGCACCACCAAACCCAAATTAATTTAATTAATTAATAGCATTTTTAACTACGAATTTTGACAACTCAACTTGACTCAACTGGATAAGCGTTCAATGCAACCTACAATAATTTAAACATAACAACAATTACATTATAATTACATTTATAACTAGTTTAGTTTGTTTTAATGAATGCAACCAATTTTGGTTCCGTATTTACCAACCAAACCCCTAAAAAGAACTTTATGTACAGTTAATTTTTTTTTATCTGGACTCGTGTTTTTTTGTTAGGTTCGTGGCTTATGCCAGTTTGACTTAGAATTTTTAGTATTTAAAAATGGTACTTCTGCTAAAGAATTTAATTAAATACTTTGACACTGTCAAATTGACAATAATATTTATTATTGACTATTTCCCTCGTCTTAATTTCCACCAATCACAAACGCGCAATTTTGAATTACAAATGGTTTCTAGGTGAAAAAACTGTGTGACAGCACCTGTCAGCAGTTTATTCGAGTTTACCCGCGGCAAAACTTGACAGCTGTTGTCACCAAAAATTGCAATTTATATTTTAATTGTTAACTGTTACTCATGAAATAGTCTAATTTTTCCTGTGAAAAAAATCGAAAAAACACAATGCTAAGTAATATTTTTTAACAAAAAGCATTCGTGCAGGTGCAAAAATCCTCCTCTTCGACTCGGATTTTTGTTGCCACCAGCACTCATGCTTTTTGTTAAAATATTACTTAGCAACGTGTTTTTTCGATTCTTTTCGGAAAAATTAAATGCCCTTATGATATTACTTACGACTATTTCCCTCGTCTTAATTTCTACCAATCACAAACGCGCTAGTTTGAATTACAAACTGTGTGACAGCACCTGTCAGCAGTTTTTTCGAGTTTACCTGCGGCAAAACTTGACAGCTATTGTCGCCAAAAATTGCAATTTATATTTTAATTATACCATAATATGGTATAATTATATAATTAAGTTTGTAGTATTTTGTAATTAAATAAATTACCTATTTTTCAGTTTTCAAATTAATACCTACATATTTATTATTTATGCATGTATAATAGCCTATTATAGTGTTATTAACACTATGTAACAAAATTTGATTTTTGTTTTGTTTATTGGATTTTTTTGTTAAATTATCAATATTTGCGTGCCAAAAAACTATTCTAACTTAATTTAAAAAATGTAGTGATAAGTTTTTATTTTTTAAGGGGTATTTATATAATATAATCAAACCCAGTTTTATCAAAAACAAAAAAAAATATTGACAAGAAATGGCCAGAAATTCAACTCAGAATTATTATTTTAACAAAACATACAATCTAGAAAAATATTTTCTTAACATAGATTTTAAATCTTGGCTAAAAAATTAATTTTAATACGACTTTTTCTTTTATATGATGCATTTTCTTCCCGAAGTAGATTCCAAACATAGTCACCCATCATTGTCGCATCCCACCTTCCTTGCTATCACTTATCCATTGCCCGAATATCTTGATGGAATCTTTATTCATGTTCTTCGCTGACATCTCCCAGATTTTCACGGAAAAAGTCAAGATGCGAATGCAAATAGTGTAGGTACTTTCAACGACATGCGGCATCCCATTTCTTTAAAACTTCCTAATAAAACTTTGACAAGGTCAGTATAATTTTCTCTTTTGTGGTTACCAAGAAAACCTTTCATTTAAAATCTCACGTTAACTTTTGAGTTTAAAAAATATGTATTATAAATTATAATTATAATTTATAATTCAATTTTTGTTAAAAAAAAAATATTCATTTTTTTTACATGTTGTCCACAAAGAAAGTTTAATGGCCAAAATCTTACGTGAGGGATAGTGAGGGGTTCTACCACATCTGACAAAATCTCACCAAGGGGAAGGGAGGGGTATAAATTATCAGAAAAATGCCTCACGTAATTAATTGATGTCCCCTAATGACACTCAAAGCCATCAACACGATCTGACTTCTGTCGTTAAAAATTTGACAGTTTGAAAAAACAAATGTATGTTACGTAATCGGGGGCATGGCCTACTACGATTTGTGTAATAAAATCCAGATAAACAAATATCATGTTACATAGTGTAATAGGTAGTTTTTTGTATGCAGAATAACTGTTACTCATGAAATAGTCTTGCTAAATACCATTCGGGCATCTAATTTTTCCTGTGAAAAAAATCGAAAAAACACAATGCATTGTGTTTTTTCGATTTTTTTCACAGGAAAAATTAGATGCATTAGCATGCTAAGTAATATTTTTTAACAAAATGCATTCGTGCAGGTGCAAAAATCCTCGTCTTCGACTCGGATTTTTGTTGCCGCCAGCACTCATGCTTCTTGTTAAAATATTACTTACTTACAATGTGTTTTTTCGATTTTTTTCGGAAAAATTAGATTACCTTATGATATTACTTACGATAATTTACTTGTCAATTATAAATAAAAAGATAATTATGCCAAAAATAATAGCAACGAATTCGAATGTAAAAGCCCTTTTCAGGGCAAAACTTCATTTTGATGAAATGCCAATGGAAGAAAAAGTACATCGCCTTATGGACATTTTTGGAGTAAAAAAGTAACGAATTTGGTTTTATAAATATTACATCACACATTATTTTCACATTATTCACCTTTGGACAACATTTCTTTTATATAAATTCTTTTCAAAGCGAAGATTATTATTCTCTAGGAATACTTTCTCTTCCGGGCCGTAAAGCAACCTTTATTTAACTACTTTTTTTATATGATTTTACTCATCCAAGCACCGCGAAAGCCAAATTAATTGCATTTTTAACTACGAATTTCGACAACTTAACTTGTCAACTGCACAATGTAACCTACAATAATTTATACATAACCACAATTAGATTTATAACTAGCTTAGTTTGTTTTAATCAATGCGACCAACTTGACAACTGTATTTACCTACCCGCCAAAAACCTAAATTTGCAACGTTGCCGCAGTCCAGATAAAAAAAAGAAGTTTATATTTTATTATGTGTCATGTGTCAAGGAATTGCTTAAAACCAATTGCTTGACACATGACACATATCGCCGTTGAAAATACGTAAAGGCGTATCTTGTTCGTTGTGCTAAGCATGTTAACCTTTATGGCTTAATATTTTTGCTTAGAAACAAAAACGAGATACGCCTTTACCTATTTTCAACGGCGAGACGATTAAGTTTTGGAAAGAGACGAATTACGTCAAGTGGACCCCTTATTTTCCACTTGGTTATAGAACACAGATTATAAAGGTTATAGAATGTAAATTTTAATACATCAATTGTTATTAGTTAATCCTAACAATATATTTTTTTTAATTTTAATTTGAACAACTATTTTTGCAAAACATAATTTTACACACACTTTAATAAAAAAAAGTTATCGTTGATATCGTAATAAATATACCTATATATTTTTATTAAAAAATAAAAGAAAAAATATTAGTACTTATATTATTTTTTTAATCTTGGAAAAAAATTATTTCAATAGGTATTTAATGAATTCTCTATCAAATAACAAAGGTGTTTCCTTGGTTACATGTAAGTATTAGATAAGTTTATTTCTCGAAAAAAGTTTCAGTGCCCGGAATTAGTTAGCAATTAGCAAGCATCACGTCGCGACGTGATGCTTGCTCGGTCAGAGAGTCTGGCTTGGCTAAATTTGATTGTAGGCATTAAGGTCCGCTTAAAAACTCGTTTTCACACCACCCTCGAGGTAGAATTTACGGCACGTTTTATTTTAATGTGCTATATCTTATAGGAGTGTTCCACGAGTAGAAAAAAATTCTTGACTCGCGCAGAAAAAATTAGACTTTCGCTGCCTTTTAAGGGATGCAAAAATGGGAGATTTCTGTGGAAAGCAGACGACTCAATTTTTGACACTAGAGCAGTAAACGCTAAAGTAAAATTCTTCAATTATCTTTAGGTTGGTACGACTAAATTTTTGTTTATTCGTTAACTTTACTAATGCTTAAGGATGTATAATAACGCGTTATTTACCCGGCGTAAATATAAACGATTTTTTTCTCACTTTTTCTTAAAAGACAGCTAAAGTCGAATTTGCGTTGCGCTTCTCATGAAAAATAATGTACATATCTTGTAGCAAAAGGCGGCGATTTCTAAAAAGTGTGACTAGTGACTAGAGGCACGCTAACGTGCCGCGATTCGAAATGTTAAAGGCACGTTAGTTACGTCATAATAATAATCCGTTTTTGTTCCCCAAGCGTTATAAAATTTATGTCAAGCTAGATAGCTCAGATCGTAGGGCGGTCGCTTGGCATGCGAGAGGTACCGGGTTCGAAACTCAGAAGTTGTCGAACTTTTAATTTTTTATTTCATAAATTTGTTGTTTCTTTGTCAAAAAGTGTTCGGTTGGGTTGGTTTGTTTTAATTTAATCGTAACATAAAATATTAAAATTATGACGTAACTAACGTGCCTTTAACATTTTGAATCGCGGCACGTTAGCTTGCCTCTAGTCACAGCGTTTTTTTTTAAATAATTAGCCCCAAAATTTGTTTTTACCGTCATTTTAGGATACGTAGTGATCACAATGTAGATAATGGTATAGAAATATTAAAGATATGGATAGAAGTAAATAAATTAAATTACCACTCAATTCATACACATTTTGAGGAAGAAAATTATATTTTCCCGGAAGAAAGTGGTCTAGGACATTGGTCAATAGATAGATTTAAACATGTTATATCCCTAAAAGAGAACGCCCTAAGTTTTGCACGAAAGAATTGGGCGGATTATTTTTTGGTAAGTTTAACTTGTAATAATGTAATACATAAACTTAACTGTCGCTATAGCGATACACCACCCAGGCACGGTCTAAGCCACGATGTATCGTTAGATCCCAAATTCCCATTAGTTTGGCATTTCGCAAGGTCTGGCCTGTGGTAATGCACTGGCCTATAAAACTTTTGCTGGGGTAATCATAAGGGATAATATTATGATAAAATGAACGGTAAATTATTTTGGGAAAAAATGTAGTTGGCTTGAGGTGTTCAAAACCAGTAATCGGCTTGGCAGGCAATATTCAATGTTTTTATGTTTTATGTTGTATTTGTTTTAGACAATAGACAGTGATGTGTTTATAACAAATCCAGAAACAATAAACTACTTAATAGATAAAAATTTTACTGTAGCCTCCCCGATGTTGCGATCAGATGGTTTGTATTCTAATTTCTGGTACGGCATGACTGAAGATTATTACTATCAAAGAACTGAAAAATACAAACCTGTGTTGTATAGAAAAGAACAAGGCTGTTTTAATGTGCCCATGGTACATTCTTGTGTATTAGTAAATTTAAGAAAAAAAGAATCAGACTTACTTACGTATGATCCAAGTAATTTAGATAATTTTAATGGACCAATTGATGATATTATAACTTTTGCAATTAGCGCTAATAAAAGTAATATTTCATTAAATATTTGCAACGAACAAAACTTTGGATTTATTACTGTTCCTTTGGAACAAAACGACGATTTATTAACGGATATAGAACATTTAAGAAATATTAAACTAGAAGTTCTAAACATGGAGAAGCCCCTAGAAGTAAAGGATTATTTAAAAATATATACTAGTTTGCCAAAGAAGGATACAATGAACTTTGATAAAATATTTATGATAAACTTGAGAAGAAGACCAGAAAGAAAAATAAGAATGATGAATGTTTTTAATGAATTGGGTATTGAAGCTTCCACTTTAGAAGCGGTAGATGGCAAGTAGGTATCAAATTATTTAATATTTTTTTAACGTTACTAAAAATTGCAAATAAAACGTCTTTTTCGTTAGTTTATTTAAGACTACAAAAGCAAAGTGCAGTGCAGTGGTAAAATTTTATTGCTTTAAATCCATATTAATATTGATTACATCAGAATTAGCCTAACGGGTCTTGGTTAGGCCCTAACCTCAAAAAACACCTTAAAATCGCCAAGACCCGTTGGACAAATTCTGATGAAGGATTTAAATTCAGCAAATACCTAGGAATATATGAGGAGCCACTCTGCAGTTTTGAATAAAATTATTATTTTTAGGATGGAGTAATCTTTGCTAAAAATGTAAAAATTAAAGAAAATGTAAAAAATCGAAAACGCACTCAATTTGATCCGAGCAAGTCGTTGAAGTTTAGTTTGAAACTCCTAAAAAAACTGAACCTTCTCCTAAAACCCAAAACTGCCTTTTTACTCGTATGCGTCTCGACCCCAGGTCAAGATATTTTTCTTTTTTAGTGTGGCTGTGTTATCGATGATTTTGGGGCAGAGTTTAAACCCCAAACCCCTCGTGCATCTGCCACTGTTCCCATTAAAAGTAATACTCACATTCTAGAACTTCTTCCAAAAACTTTTAATAGCCAAAGTTGGTATGGTAAAACTTTCAAAAGAAGTAGAGAGCACTCGAAGCAACCGTTTAAACGCGTTCGTTAATTAGATATACCTCATAATACATCCCATATATGGGAGTATTATAATACTACCAACTCTATAGAGTATACTCATATTACAAAATTTAATTTTTTTAAAATAATCACATGAATTAACTTTTTTACCATTTAAATTGTAATTTAAGTTAAAAACTGATTAAATGCACATTTTCTTTTAGAAATAAAATCAAATCAAATTATCTTTATTTATATAACAATTGTTATAACATTTTTTTAGTATTTACAAAATAATAATCCGCATTTAATTTTTTATTATGATTTTAATAAAGGTTCATTATAATTTAAAACATTATCAAGTATCTAGTCGTAATTTGAAGAACGCAAATTTAATTGCATTTCACTGTACTTTAACGTCTGTCACGATACAAAACAACAGAAACAATTTAATTTCATTAAAATCGGAGAGATCCTATAAACAAGGTTGAAAAGGATTTAGGAAGCTATTTATTTATTATGTAAGAGTTCTTAGTTTGCCGACGTCCTATTTACATTTACGCTTAAGAACTTTGTTACGTATGATTTTATATATTATCAAAGAGAATAAACCTTCCCTTCATTCCTTTAATGAATAATTGAAAAAAAAAATAATAAAAATTATTAAACATATTTGTACTATAATAATATATAATATTAAATTTGCCCAATTATACTTTTTTAGTAACACCTGAAAAATCGGGGTAAAAACTTTCCATTGGCTCGCCACGTATATTTAGAAAAATCTTAATGCAAATCGCTAAAATTTTGCTTCATATGTGATATGTTAAATTTAGATACACTTCGTAACCACTTTAGGTAAACTTTTGCAATCAAAGGTTTTTGTCATTTTCCACCTAAACATATTAACCGGCGATAACTTGAACGACAAAAGCGCTAGACTAGAATAACAACTACTGGGATACGGAGGCACCTTTTCGCAGCAATGAAAAAAACTTGCGTCAACAGATTTCAAGCAAATCTCAGAAAAAACAACAGAGGGGTTTTTTGTCGCGTAAGATAACCCTTTTATAGTTAGGGTTTTATCGTCGTTCATAATAAACATTCAATATTGTTTTTCTACAAGCGTGCGGAAAGTTGCTACTTTTCGTACTCATAATCGTTGGTAAGTTGCCATTTTCTAATACTGGATCATAGGATATTCGATTATTTATAGTTATGGTTCTAGAAAGTTTTTTCTCCGGTTCTACTCGATGGAAAAAATGTTTTTTTTAAATTACCTAAATGGTAAAGATTTACTCTTTCAATATGTGCATAGGTTTTAGCAGATTAAATTAAGTATCCAGTGCACATTTTTCTGAGTACGACGATACCCCATAAGTAGGGTTTAGTAAACATCCCAGTAAACACCATTCTTTACTCATTGATTTATATATAAATTTTTATCTTTGATTGAAAATATTGTTGATATATAAAAGATTTTAATAAATTTTTATCTTTGATTGAAAATATTGTTGATATATAAAAGATTTTAATTGTGTGATTTAAGTTTACTTGTGATTGATATATTTTAAAGCTTTCGCAATATACCGTGTGCAATGAGGGCGCCACTTCAATGTTCGTAAACATTAATGGATAAAAGTTTCCATCCTTGATTGAAAATATTCTAGATATATAATTGTAATTTTGAGATTTAAGTTCGCTTGTAAATAATTTATTTTAAAGTTTCCACAATATACCGTGTGCAGTGAGGGCACCACTTTGATGTTCGTAAACATTTTTGGCATAATTGTCATTTAACATTGCCCGTTATTTATTTTTATTAAACTTAACATTTATTTATACTTTAAAATATTAAAATAGCTGTAAAATATTATTAATTATAGCAATAAAAAACCCAAAGAGTAAAATATAAGTAACATAATAATATTTTGAAGTTATTTTAATATTTTAAAGTATGAATAAATGTTAAGTTTAATAACGGGAAATGTTAAATGACAATTATTTCAAAAATGTTTACGAACATAAAAAGTGACGTCCTCACTGCACACGGTATATTGTGGAAGCTTTAAAATAAATCATTTGCAAGCCAACTTATATCACATAATTAAAATCTTTTATATATCAGGAATATTTTCAATCAAAGATAAAAATGTTTACGACCATCGAAGTGGCGCCCTCACTGCACACGGTATATTTTGGAGGCTTTAAAATAAATCAATCACAAGCGAACTTATTTCACACAATTAAAACCTTTTATATATCAAAAATGTTATGTGGTTTACAGGTGCTGATTATTCATTATCATAATTGCTATGTTGATTTCTGTGCTCAAAACTGCCTCGTTGATTTCTGTTTTCAAAACTGCCTCGTTGATTTCCGTGTTCAAAACTGCTTCGTTGATTTCTGTGTTCAAAACTGCCTCGTTGATTTCTGTGTTCAAAACTGCCTCGTTGATTTCCATTCCCATAATTTTTTGTCTCTTTATTTACATAGCTTATTGCTTTGTCTTCATTTTTTCCTGCTGCAAGGGCCTTAATGTTTTTGTCTGCTGCTTCGGAAGCTTTACATATTTTTATTGCCATATCCAACGTAAGATTTCCATCATAGGTGAATTTGTTTTTCACTTTTTCTTCTCTAATACCACTAATAATAACATCTTTAATAATACCTTCCTTAACCTCACCATATTCACAAGGTTGAGCCAATTGTCTCAGTTCTTTCAAATATGAGTCAAAATCTTCATCCACCCCTTGCATTCTGCTGTTAAATTTCTGTCTCGCCAGACTTGTGTTTGCCTTAGGTACAAAATATTTTTCTAACTCTTCTAGTATTTTATTTTTATTTTTCACATCAGCCTCACTAATATTTAATGTGTCTAAAATTTCTAACACTGGCTGACCAATACAATGCAGTAGTACAGCTGCCTGTACCTCTTGTGATTTTTCTAAAAATATTTTCAATCAAAGATGAAAATTTATATATAAACACTTAATTTTATATTGGCCCAAACGGCGCCTCATATAAATGCCACTTGTAGGTACTGTTTTTAAACTCAACACCGCGCAACTCAGTTATTTGTTCAGGAATATGTTTAAGTTCATAATTTACAAAATTAGCATCTTAAAATAATTTTAAACCATGCTACCGCCTGTATAAACAACGATTGTAGAAGGAAAACTCGATGGTAGTCGGGTTTTATTTTTTTTTAATTAGAGTCAGGGGTGCTGATAATAAATCAAGAATATTTCCCAAAAATTTCTTTCCGCGTCCCCTAATTTCATCCCCCGAAAGGGGAGTTTTTTTGCTTTTTGGCTCATAACTCGCTAACCGTGCATTTTTTTAGAATTTCAACTCTAATACTTTTGATTATGTACTAAATAAGGCACACGTTAAACCCCATTGCGCACCTATATGATGTGCCCTTTTGCTATGCGCAGTGTGCAAAGTTGAGCGTTGCTTTCAAAATCACTTTTTTGTTGTTTTTTTAATTATAGCCAAATTTTAAAAGTAATCGATCCCAAACCTTAGGGTAATCAAGCATAACCGAATGGACGATTTTTTGAGGTACTAGACTTTTTTCAAAAGTTACTGCTTTTCAATGTACAGGGGGTTCTTTTTTCAAGAAAACCATTTTTTATTTCCGAAACGGCTTTAATGAGCCAGTTCGTTCTACCCTAGATTTTTAGGTATACTTATCCTCGTAACGAATCCGTAGTTTTATTAAATTATTTTCATTGCAAGTGCCCCACAAAAATTTAAAAAACTTCCCTTTCGGGGGATGAAATTTTTGAGGAATATTCTTGATTCATTATTAGCACCCTTGACTCTAAATAAAAAAAATAAAACCAAGTTATGAGCCGAAAAGCAAAAAAAATTCCCTTTCGGGGGATGAAATTTTTGGGGAATATTCTTGATTCACTATTAGCACCCTTGACTCTACATAAAAAAAGTAAAACCCGGCTACCATCGAGTTTTCCTTCTACAATCTTTGTTTCCTGGACTAAATGTAAACAACTGACAAATATGAATCCGACGCATCGCATTAAAACGGTTAAAGTTATACGTAAAAAGGATAAAAGTGTTTTATAGGAAATTAAATAATTAGCTTCCAAATTAAGCAGCTTATAGTATGTAAAAAACCCGTTTGAACCAATTAAAAAATCGACTATCGTCAAATCTAATCTCTCTACTTTAAATAATTATTATAATTGTACGTTTTATGTTTTGTTAATAAAAATTTAATTTTCAATTAAAGATAAAATGTATGCCATGCGGCTGAGAATTGCCTTTTTTGCTTCGCTCAATTGTAGGCCTCCGGTACTCGTCGCTACAGAAAGACCCACTTCTCAGCCAGCGCGTTTTTTTACGGTATTGAAAAGTGCCCAGCGGTATATGTTAATAGCAGGGACTTTAAGTCCTGGACTTGTAACTCGTTTCTTTTAAGGTACAGTAGAAACCACTAATATATGAACGTGACTCATCGGGTGCCGAACATATTTCAGACATGCTAGCAGTAATGTTTTACTTGTCTTGTACATTCGATGCAGCGGTAAATGTACTCACACGTAGGTTTTTAAGCATCCGGTCTAAAATGCGCCATCTGTGATGTAAAACTGCCTAGGTGTTGGACAAAGATGGACATATGACGCGTGTCCTAGCTTGTTACTTATATTCAGTAGAGTTCGTGTTTTAGGCATTTATTTTATTTTATTACATAGTAAGGCAACCAACTTTACCGTCGGCCATTTGTTTTTATATGTCATATGATCTTTGTTTTTGCATATCGTGTTTCTACTGTGTGTTTACGGATTAATAATCGTTTTAAACGTTGTAGTGGCAGTGGTTTATATTATGTAACACAGGTAGATGTCGTATAAAAATCCTTACCTAGAAATTCTAGGCTAGAATACAAAAATATTTTTATTATATAAATTTTGTACTAGTATTAGTTTAATACATTCTGAAGAAGCTACTGTGTAGCGAAACAATTGTCAATATTTAATAAATTTCGTGAAACTAACGCCAGTTGTTTTTATATCCACACAATTTAAATATCTTTCACTTTGTACCTGACCTGCGTAAACATTTTTGTTTTTTGTCACCAATTCTGAAATATTTGCGTTTACAGTTAAAAGAATAGTATATTCTGTAACAAGTTTGACGGTTTCACGAGAGGGGAATATGCAATTCCAAACGTGTTTCAGACTATACTAAGAATTTAATTGGAAGAAAGTGAGGTTGGATCGGTCTAAAAATTTGTTATTAAAATCAGAGATGTCGCCACGAGTGTACGTTCTGTCATCAGATGATAGAATATTTCATTAAAGTTAAAAGAAAAGTTTATTTATTAATTAGTTTCTAAGAAAATTACATTTTATTTAATTATCGTAGATGTTAATTATGTTAGATGTTAATTATTTAACTTTAAAAGCAAATATATCATAAGTATAGCAACCAACATTACACTCAAATTTTTTTACAAACGGGACTGCACTGGACCGTGACCTTCGATAGATTGCTTCGTACGAATGTGTCGGATGAGTCACGTTCATATATTCGTGGTTTCTACTTTAGGTATGTTTCTTTATATAAGGATCAAAACAAAACTGTATCAATGCATGCGCCACAAAGAAGATTACGAAACTCTGAGAAACGATACTTATTAGTAAAAAAATTTATATCGAAACACAGGGTATTGAAACGAAACCAGTATCAGTAAATAAGTAACGAAACTGTAACAAAACGTTACATTTTCAAAAGTTTTCACAAAATGCTCAACAACACAAATCCTCGTGATCTGTCAAGTATATTGACATTGTACAAAAAAATCATTTTGGTTAAATTATATTTATCTACTCCCACATTGACGAGCTGGGTCTTTATGGCGTTTTAGTCACGGACTGAAGTTATTAATAGTGACTTTTGGGCATTTTAGTCACGGGCTGAAGTAAGCTAGCTTACTAAAGCTTTATTATAAGGTAGGGAAAAGTAAGTTTTAATCTGTTTAAAGTTGACAGATGTCAAATGTTTAAAACATAAAATTGGCCTTCAATTCTTCTTTGTGTTCGTGACGAACAGAAATAGAAATTTTTTGCATTGTATACTTTATCTACGACGCTTCGTAGAAAAAGTATACAATGCAACTCGTTTTATAAACTTATTTATTTTTATTAAACACTAGCTCACAAGCTTTGCTCGTGATTAATTAAAATCGCAACTAAAATGGCGTTTATAAAACTTAATAGATGTCAGAGATTAATTTTAAAAGAATGCACGATACTGGTTTTTAATATAAAGTTATTTAATAAAACACGTAGTCAGATTAATCCGCACAGAACACCAAATTAATATCGTCCCAAACTAATTATTAGCTATAAAAAAGGAAATCTACGTTTCGCGACCCGCTAGACAGTAGTCAATCAAAAATCAATTCAGAGATTCAACTCTCAGAACAACTCAAAACCTATCTGCCGGATGCGTTCCGTTCACCAAGCTTATCCTGGCGGTTCCCATAAAAACCTTTTACCCCTCCTAACATATTTTCTACGTTTTAAAGAACTATAACTAATTTGTCTAGACAACTTCATATAAATAATATCAACAAAAATAAATGTATCGTATTAGTGTTAGACTTAATCATAAGCGTAGACCACTAATTAATAAGGGCGCCGACATAGATAATATACAATATTGATTTATATTTTATATACAAAATTAAGGGATTGAAATAATTTATTAACATTTTGTTACAGATCCTTAACCGAAGCTGAACTAAACAAAATTTTGTTTTTACCTAATTACGCCGATCCATATCATAAAAGGTAAGTGACCCTTGCTTAGGAGAAACCTGCATGGTAAAATTTCTGGATTTAAGTGTGTACTGTACTAAAATTGTGTCAAAAATGGCAGGTGACAGATATCTAAAATGGGCTGTGACAGATGTCAAAAATGAGCTATGGCAGTTGTAAAACTTAATAGAAGTAATAATGACAGTTAAATAATGTCAAATATCTATCTCTCCTTTACATATGCACGTTGTGCATTGCACAGCCACTCATTCCTTACTCCACGAAACATAAACGAATATGATTTCTTTCATATTGACTCTCTCTAACTTTGTTTTTTTGAAGTCACTTATTATGTGACCAAGGGTCACTTAGAGTGCTTCATGGTTTTTGGTTCAAACTTCTGTAACGCCAAGTTTTAGTTTACCCCGTCCTCAAAGAAGTTTTACTACAAACAAAATAAATTCTTTATGAACACCAGGCCTGTTCCCAGTTTCATTACCATTTTATTTCAATACCTAGCATTTCGTCGCCGCTACAATACTCAGAGTTTTGATACTTTTCGTTTCCATTCTTAGAGCATTTCGGTATAATTTCGTTTCTCGCAATGGTACTGAATTTCTTTTTTAAACCATACGTTTTTGTATTTATTTCTTTATGATTGTTTTTGTTCTTTTAAATTTCGTTGTTTTTTTTTGGTACTGGTTAGAAAAGTTTTCAGACTTTCTGTTACATCTCACGTTCCGTTTTTTAATCAAGTGAAAACGATACCGGTAGAAACGCAGTTTTGTCTCAATGCTATGTTTCGGTATACCATCTTTTGTTATTCCATGGTTTGCCATAGCAAACCCTGGAAAAACAAAATATGGTAGTGGTAACTTAAAATCTAGTAGGCGAAATAAATCACAAATTGAATGAAAATGTGAATGTTTCAGGGACTGGGAGTAAAATTTAAAATCTTTTTTATTTACAGAGAGAGTAATTAGCCGAGAGAGGTTGGTGAACACTCGAGTCGGCCATATGATTTAGGACCGATTTGTCAATCTCTGTTTAAGTTTCAGTTAGTTTATCTGACAGTTAAATTCTTTATCGTTTGTTGTGACTCACAACTTGTGAGAACAATTGTATACATCTGCTATATAACTAATTGCAACTTTAACTGGGCATTGAAAAACCTACCCTTAATCTGGCTTTTAAATTTATTTCTTAAATTTGTAAATTTTGAAAACGATTATTAAACATTATTTTTCATTAATAAATAAATTTAAATAGCAAATTAAATATTCCAAGCAGGGTATTTAACAGATACTAGAATGGTTTTTAATAAAATAAATTAAAAACTTTTTAATAAAAAGTCCTATTAATAAGTCTTTTTAATAAATACCAGCTTGCTTTGCTTATTTTGCTATTTAAAATTGAAATATACATAATGAATTATAAATATATATAAAAATATATTTATATCACTAATAATATTAATTCATTTAATATATTAATTTCTAGTGGGACAGGGCGTAGTTAATAACAGACAAAATTATTTTAATACAGTATATTACACTACAAGGGCAGAAAGTGTGAGATTCCTGCAGTTCAGGGCTCTCACACTTTCTGCCCGTGTAGTGTATACTATTTTTCTTGCTACCCTGCCGAAAATACGGACAAAAATTAAATGTGTATATCTTAACATATTGATGCCTGCCCCGACATTTGCGGCACGAGCGAAGCCTTCGTAGCCCTTGTAGTGTAATATACTATTTCTTACTACCTCGGCCGAAAAACGTTGTTTTATCCCCGATTCCAATGCATCAAACGTAAACTTTCTGCCGTGGAATCGGGGACAAAACAACGTATTTTCGGCCGAGGTAGTAAGAAAAAATATTTATTAACCGTCAAGTCGCTTTCGACATCTTCCGGGACCCCTCCGAAAATGGCCTTCACCCTTTGTACTACGAGTCCTATTACATTATTGCCCCAACGACGATGGATATGGAAGAATTAAAGAAAATTGTTTTATCTCGTTACAAATGAGTAACTTGACCCTCTTGTCGCAACACGAAACCCAAACACCTCAACAAAGAGTCAATAAACCAAAACAACGGAACCAGCAGTATTACCCACAAACCCAAGTACAAAAAAAATTAAAGATGAAGACTCCACCCCTTCCTTTCTACATGTCAAAAATGCTATCCAGGTATAAAATAACTTTTCATCCTATTACAACTAAGAAAATCAATTTATCAAACCATAAATTTTGCATGACCCAGAATCCAATTAAAAGACAACTGTTTTTTTGTAAAAATGCAAGAATTAGATTTTTACAAACCATTTTAGTTTTGACGGCACGAGCTTTTTGACGACGTCGACATTTTTTTCAACTTGAACGTCGACATCCTTAAATGCCTCTCTAAAAATATTAATTTGCAATGATTTAGCTTGGCCCGATATCCTCTATAGACATATATACACATATTACAAATATAATCATACTCTGATATACACACGGAAAAAAGCTGCACTATATTAAAGAATAGTAGCGTTTTCCCAAGAATATACTCGTTTCACTATTCCACAAGAAAACATAATATTTGATTCTAATATAGCTCTATTTTTAAGAATTTAGGTAAATTTAACTTATATTCAGAATAAGCTAGTGTTGAATTTAACAATAGCCTAAAAATTGTTTTAAGATTAAGCTAGATTTCATGATCAAGTATTCTTATTCTTATTTAAAAAACTACTTATCATTGGGAAAACTACAATTTAGTTCCAAATATTTCTTATACTTATTTCAAAAATTGCCCTGATTGTTTTAATAGCTACTAATACTACTCTGGAGTATTTTTTATTTTTGTTTCAAAAATATTGTAGCTTCAATGTAAACAATACTTTTACTGAAAATAGTTTAAGTACATTTAATTTGATTTAAAATTTAGGGTTTTAGTTGCTTTAAGTAGTAGGTCATTCCCTTTAAGTATACCTATGGGTAAAATTTATTTTAAATAAAATGTAATTAATTTTTTATTCAAATATAATAAAAGATGGAAGCTAATTGTTCTAATGTCGCTTTAATCAGTATTTACACTTGATATGTGAAATAAGGTATGTACATATGTACAAACAAACAAATAGGTACATTCATATATTTATTTTAGTAAAACTAACAAAGTTGTAACTCTATTGAGGCAGTAGGTACTGCGATTCGAAATAAGCGTTTTATCGTTGTGAGAACTAGCAGAAAATGGCCCCAAACCGTTTGCAACAAGACTTCATTCATATCGAAACGCGCAGTTGCTTAATCCACTAAACCAGACTCAAACCGTCAGAAATTTGATGCTAGAACAAACCCATTATTATAAATAAAGCCGGGTCTACAATTGTCGCAGGTCGCACATCGCAGAACATAAGCTTGCGCAAAGCACCCAGCTGACAAAATAACCTTGCTCCATCGCCACGTCGCGGGGTGCTTTGCGCAAGCTTATGTTCTGCGATCGAACCCGGCTTAACGCTTTGTTTTTACCCAAAATACCCTAATAGCTACCCACGCAAATAGTGCCTAATAATTTTTTGCATTTTTCTTAGTATTTTTCCTTGTTTATTCTCGTTGCCCGTTATAATTAAATAGGAAAAATGCAACTTACCTTCAAATATTGAAATAAAAAATTCCAAATTGCTAAACTGGGACTCCCAGCCTCCCTTTCCTTTATTTACTACAGGTTGACTCACGTTTGCATTTTATTTAAGAATAATTATACTCTATTCAATAATAATGTTATTTTGCCAAAGATGAATTGCTTTTTGTTCTTTAAAATGGTACTTGTTTTAAAGTAATCTAATGTTATAATAATTATACAAGTATAATTTAGTGGTATCGCAATAGTTAATATATTTAATTGAAACCTTATTTAAGTTTGTAATTGAAAAATTATATGGATTTTAAAAGAGAAAACATTTTCACTTAATTTATGAACAATCCTTTGTTTAATAAAATATATTTTTTATTCTTTGTTTAAATAAAAAAATACTTAAAATGAATATTGAAAGAGTTCAAAATTAACATTTAGCAAATACTTTAATGAATAATAAAGTATTATTTTACTAAGTAAATTATAATTGGGTTAAATATAACATTATAAGTAAAGAACTATGTTTGGATATAGAAATGTATTTTTTATATACAAACGACAGTTAGGTTTTGTCGGTATAGCATGTCGAGCTTTTTGTAGAATATTTGTACGTATTAAGCAGGCTCCACACTATGCGGCGAACTAGATGAATGTCAAACTGTTAGGCTAGTTTGCCAAACTTGATGAGTTAATTTAAATTCACCAAGTGTTCCGTATATACGCGTATATGTCACATCTCCACCCAATTGCGATACATTCGTCGCGGTTAATACATTAACGTTGGAAACATTAAGTTCCCAATTGCGAACATTCGTCGCGGTTAATACATTAACGTTGGAAACATTAAGTTCGCAAAATAAAGAACAATGATGATGATATTATTGTTTAAAGTGGTTCAATAATAATATTTTGTAGTTATTTACTTATTTACTAAAGTTTCTAGCAACACCGAGCTCGGTGGTCAAATAATAATAAATTCCATTCAGCACGTTTTAAAGAAAAAATCCTGCACTAAACAACAAATAATTAATTATTCGTAGTCGGTGAATGCTGCAAATTGCAACGAAAAAAATAATTAATCAATAATGCCCCCAAAAAGCGGGCTATCTTAACCGAATGGAAGCGGCAGCATACTTAACTTTACCTACCGATCGTGCCTGCAACCCAGGCTGCTTTTCCGGCCCAAGTTTAGAAGATAAAATCTGCACTTTAAAGAGGTGGCGGACCCTCCAAATAAAAATCATTTTTTTTCGTTAATTGTGATAATAATTCACCAATTTTCCGATTATAGGCATATTAAATTTTTACCATCATGTATTTTGCTCAGCTAATATAGGGAATTTCCATTGTAACGGATGCGACACTAAAACTGCGTTGTTTTTATAAATAAAGTGTTTGTTCATATACGGGGTG